CCCCCCCCCGGAGGACTCCTCCAGGAGGACAGACTGTGAAGGCGGCGGTTGAGGGGGGTTATTCCCGGAGGGAAACTGAGGCCGGAAGACGGGGAGGGATTTTAGGGATCAAAGGCAATGGGAACTGCGAAGGACAGGAGGCTGCAGCCCAGTCAGGAGTAGTTGGGAGAAGGGTGACCCGTAAGGAAAAGGCTGGGGAGGGGGCAGAAACAATCAATATTATACCAAAATGCTTCGCCCCAGACTGCCTGATTCTCCGCCTCATCAACTTCTACCGTTATTTGTTCTCTGCCCAGGAGCTTTCCGCCGGGGCACGGCCACAGCTCCCCGTTACTCTCCCCAGTCCTGCCCCCTTCCAGCCGGGCCCAGAATCACCAAGGCTGGAAATGACCTTTCAGATCATCAAGTCCAGCAGATCTCTCCCCCTCTTCGGCACCAAATTCGCGCTCTGAAATAAAATCATAAAGAAATTCAGGAAGAGAAGGTTGGGTACCCGCGAGGTGGCACCACGAGCACACGGCTGACAGCAGCGAGGGGCCAGAAGAGAGCTACAACAGCCGCAGTTAATTAGTCACCACTCTTCCAGTTAATGAAGTCACCCACCATTAACGCTCCAGTGCATCTCTTCTGTCCCTGGACTCCTCCTTTCCCCGTCCTGCTTTGCTCCCAACTAACAACGTGAGGTAAAACCACCAAGCAGGTTCCTCCTGGGAGGTGTTGCTGGGCAAATCATCTCCTGTTAGTACCAGCCATGAGGTGGTAGTAACTAACTGCTAAGAGCACCAGCTTTATTTCCCACCAACAACCACTTCATGTAAAAAAATACCTGTCACACCAAGCAATTTGTTGTAAATCTGAAATCAACTGCTTTGCTCCTGTGTACACTTGGGGGTACAGCAAGAGGTTTCACATCCAGACAACTGTGTATTTTGTAAACTCCTCTTATTCCAGAGTCACAACAAGCTGAAACAGTGTGAGAACAGGAAGAGGCTCAAGGGACTATCCACATTGTCTTCTTGGATGTTTTGTATGTGATTGTGCTCAAAGACCTATGGGCATGCCAGGATTTTACTCTTGAAATGACACAACTGCACTTTTATGTCCATTTCCTGTCATAAACAACTCCCTAAGAAGCATTCCACAGAAACACATTTTCTTGTGCAAACACACTAAAAGCAGGGAAACAGGATGAGTATATAAACTGACTGCAAATGATTAATGAAGCAGCAATTAGTCAAAGTAGCATTAAAGGGTTACAGGAAACCCAGTTAAGCACAACCTGGGTGCAGTGAACATCACTCAGGGTGGCTCCAGTGAGTTGTCCTGGCTGCTGATGTGCAACCAGAGCAAAACAATGACACCACTCGACCAGCTCCAAACTTCCAGTATATGTGGGCAAAATGCACATAAAAATCATCCCCACCCACTCCTAGAAAACACAGCAAACAGCCATGGAGGCACAGATTCACTCCACCTCGTTCTGAATGGAGAGACTGGGAGGGTAGTTGTCCCTCTTGGGGTCTTTTCCACCTTCTGCCAGCCACTTTCACACTGTTCTAAATGCTTAAGAAACTGGAAATCTTAAGACATTTCCATTTTGGACATGAGAACTGGCACGAGTAAACTGGAAACTTCTAAAGCATTGTAAAACTGGCAAGTCTGTCTTCTGTTTTCCCAGATATTTTTAACAGCACCAACTTAATAATAAAAAGGTATGTGAAATGCAATAGAAAACTCTCCCATTTTTAAACAAAAAAGGAGTCTTACAGTTCATCAGTCCCCTTCCAGATGTTCTTGCACCTCAACTAGGAGTCTCAACTTCTGCACTGGAAAGATCTCCAGAGTCCTAACTGACTCCTGACTTTTTGGGGTCACCCAAAAG